CTTCAAACCTTTATATACAAAGTATGGCCTGAATCCTTTGCTAACTCTATTTCGTTGTCATACACATACTGGCTGAGAACACATTGTAAATGAGTCAGAAAACGTAAGAATTTGGAATGATATTTAACAACAGATCGCGCGGGATCGTTCAGTTATTATTTCAACGTTTGCAGTTGTTGATGAAGCATATTTTTGGCGACTTTTAAGCCTTATACGGATTATTTCTTCGGTTTATTCAAATCTGTTTTGGATAACATTTGGATTGCTACTTCCACTTGCGATGAATATGAGTCGATCAAACATGAAACTAAAGAGCGATAGTAATAAATTCGAAAACGAAACACAGCCCTACCCTGAGGTATTATGAAAAGCGCTTACCTATATCAAAGTTTGATATTTTATGGTGTTTGCAAGCAATTTTTGCATATTTGCTTAGAGGGCATTTAAACAAGAAATATCCATGGAGGCACTTGAACACCCACCTCGTGTGCATCTGTTTTGTAGAATTTTATCGACTAGACCCACTCTAAAAAACAGATTTGGGACAAGCAGAAATTAGCTTTGGAGAATAAAATAACGTGAGATATTCCATGCATTGAAACGGTAGCTGTCTTCCTTTGCTCAGAACGATCACGGCACAGATTTAAATGGTCGATATGGTGTTTTCCGAATACGTTATTTATTCCCCGCTTTTGATCATCAAAAAATTGCAAAAGGTGTTATATTCTCAGCTGTAATCCATTATTCTCTGGTGCTTTTGTTAGTCGCATAAGTCCAAAATTCATTGTCCCTTTCAAAATAAGTACTTAGCTCCAGTGACCCTGAAATTAGTCAGGAGGAAGTGTTCAATGTATAAAACCGGAACTTTGAGGTTTGCGTATGAATTTAAGGAAACCAGCATCACGGGTAAAAGTGTAGAAAGGGGCATTGCCGTTCTCGCTTTTTGTACGCCGGAGAGGAGTTAAAATTTTGAAAATTATGCCTTTTCACAACAAATTGCCTCATGTAAATTGAACCTACTTCAGTTATAAGTCAGTGCTTTAACTGTCTATTTAGACGAAACAGTCAACGCATGAAGATAATTTTTTGGGCAATAATACGCCGGTGTCTATCACTGAAATTCCAAGTTTGCAGATTCCCTTGTAAATTTTTCTAAATGCAGTGAAGTGATCTGTGCGTTCGAAGCGACCTTAACAAGCTGATACGGATATAAATCGATAAACACAGTTCGAAGATTGACAGGGTCTTTCCGTGAAGCAGGGTATTTTTTGGAACCGAAAACAGCGGTATTTTTCGCCATACAGTAGCAATATTTATATAAGTCTTAAATAGTAACGGGTTCCAGAAATTTTCTCAACTAATGATTCTGAAGAAATCACCACCTAAGATTACCGCTGCACCAACAGCCAGTCGTTTACAGTTCATGGGAGTTCAGGGACTGAAAGCGTATATCGTTTGAGACAGTGGTCTTCGATTTCGGCCGCTGTCTCTTCTCAACGATTCCTGTCTTCGGTTAGATTTATGAACCACCTTAAAAATGCATATCTTGTAGATATCAACGAGTGCACCGAGAAGCTTCATCGCTGCAAACAGCATGAGACCTGTCGCAATACAGTCGGATCGTATTTGTGTGTTTCTGGGTCCAGAAGTTCATGCCCGGAAGGCTTTTCCGAACATGCCGGTTCTTGCATAAGTATGCTTGTTGGGATTTGTTGTGCTTTGCAATAGAGGTATGGATTGTGACTTCACATTTCAAGAACTGTCCGAAGGCGGCCAGCGCAAGTGCAAAACCGGCAACGACTGTGACCGCAATGCGGACTGTCTGGAAACGGCGGAGGGCTTCAAGTGCACCTGCAGGAGCGGCTACATCGGTGACGGCAGAACGTGTCAAGGTAAT